CACGTGTGGTGTTTCGTTTCGCCTGTCCCGTCTCGCTAGGGGCGCGGCCGTGAGGACCGAGGAGCTCTGCCACAGGTACGGAACCGACCTCTCCGTAGGAGCAACTGGCCTCATCCGACTTAGGCAGGCATTGGGTCGTCGCCAGTCGACTCCAGCGGTCGTAGTGGGAGTAGTGCTGTTCGCGACCTTCGGGACAGGGGTGGACGGAGTAGACGGGTGTGGCCGGCGGGTGCCCTCTGACCTCGCAGTTCGCTCAGGGAGGATCCGCTTGTTCGCCGCCAATGCCTTCGCCTCGTCAGCGCCTTGGTATCCGTCGTCTGCGGGTGACTGTGCTGCCCCTGGCCCGGTCCTGGCGTGTGACCCGACGTGCGGTGGCCCCGGCTGACCCGCTAACCGACTCGTGGTCTGGTCTGGTCTGTTCGCCTGCTCTCGTTCTCCCCTCGGCCTGAGCGGCGTGACTCTGTCTGGCTGGCCCGCGGCCGTGCGGAGCGGCGGACGCCTCGCGGCCGGGCGGTTTGGCAGGCGCGCGCCCGGCCGGCCGGCCCTCCCTTCAGGAACCCCGCGCTGCGACACAGGCGCACGCGCCAGGTAAAGCACCCGACCGGACCGTACCCTGTCCCGCCGTATGCTCCGTACTTTGACGTACCGTGACTGCTACTGACGTGGGGTGAAAATGACTCGCCTGGCACCTGGCAACCACGCTTCTGGGCAGGGGTGATTTTGTAAGGCTCTAGGTCGGGTCGTCGCAGGTATTCAAGTGTCTGTGCGTTTGCGTTGAATCAGTGTAACAACCACATAGTCACCTCCATCCCTGCGCGTTGTGTTTTTGGACTGGTTTATTTTGTGTCTTTCATTCTAAAGTTGTTTGCCCTGTTTTGTTGGTGCGGCCTTGTCAAAGTGCGGGATGGGTCCTGCGTCTGAAAACCGAGAACGGCGTTTCGTAAATAAAGCTCCCTCATGATCGATGTTGTTTTCATGGCGGCTCCGGCGCGCGGCCCACCACGTACATGATGTGCATTGCTTCTGGCGAATACACGTGCTCTGTAGCGATGCTTGTGTTTGGTGA